CCCGCGGCGGGCGGTGGTGGGCAGGGCGTGGGGCGGGCGGGCGGCGGGCAGGACTGACAGGCTATGGCTCCTCCATCCTCAGATCATCGCCAAGAGGGGCAGCGCCTACATCCTCAGACATGTGCCCGCCGTGCACCGCGAGCAGCGGGGCCTCAGCCCCCAGGAGGCCGTGCTGCGCTTCATCAGGGAGGCCTGCCGGCTGGAGGACGTGCCCGTCCACTTCTTCAGGCTGTTCAAGGTCATGCCCTGTGGCCGCTGGGCACATTAGGGCTCAGGCTGCCTCGGAGCTGCCTCAGCCAAGGGCCCCAGATGAGCGGCATTGGGCGGCCCGGACTCTGACACCAGGACAGGAGGACAGTGTCCCCATGGCCGACCCATGCCCAGACGCTGACCCCAGAATGGAAGGACGTGCAGTAGCGTGTGGGCTGCCATCTGAGTGGTGGTGTGCGGCGGTGGCACCGCTGTCCCCTGTGTCCCCCGTGTGCACGGCTACACCTGCGGGGAGCGTCCTGGAACCCAGCCCCCTCAGCTTCCTGCGGTGAATGCTGCCCCACCCAACGTGGGGACAAAGGGACTGTGTGAAGGGTGGCCTCTGCTACTCTCCCGCCGGTGTCCGGGGCAGCGTGACACTTGTTCTGTAGGGACGTCGGGCTGAGGGCCTGTCAGTGGGGCCTAAAGAGCTCACGACCGTATCCAGGCAGTGGAAGTCTGAGAAGGTGACGAGGCAGGGACGGGACAATGACGAGGCAGGATCAGGAGACAGCGGGCCTCCTGTCAGAGGGGGTGGAAAGGGCCTGGGGTGGCCCCGCATGGCCCTGGGGAGCACAGCCACCGCGCACTGGGTCAGACCGCTGACGTAGATGTCCTTGTAGGATAAGAAGGAAGACAGAGCTACCATTGTGCTGGCACTGACTCCCAAAGGGATGCGCATCTATCAGGTGACCAGGGGGACACCAGAGCCCCTCCCGCCGAGGGCCCTGCTGTGCCTGCGGCCCTGGGGCCCGCCCTGGGGACACGGACTCCGCTGTCTTGCAGGAGGTGACTGGCGCCCCGCAGCTGCTCTACGACTTCCTCTGGGCCCACATTGGGAAGCTGGCGTTCCTGGTGCGTATCGGGTGGGGGCGCAGTGGGACGGGTCTTAACCACCAAGAGCCTGGGGAGCCGGGCAGAGCCTGCCCTCCAGGCCGTCTACTGGGCACCCCGTCCTCCGCCAGACCGGGCCTGGCGCTCTGCCCCAGGAGGAGCTGGCACCAGGCCACCTTCTGGCTCCCACGTGGAGCACGTGAAAGGAAATGAGGCGGAGGTCACAGAAACGCACAGCTGTGGCCACCACGCAGTCACCCTGGCCCAGGCCTGGCCCTGGGAGCAGAAGGGCAGGGATAGTGAGGGCCACCAGGCCAGGCTGGCTGTTTCTCTGGACGGTGAACCCGAGCCCTGGGGTCCAGTCCCGCTCCCGTGCGCCCCGCCCCGATGGCCAAGGGGACGTGTCCTGCGTGCTCATAACGGAGAGTAGGGTGATGTGCGCCCTTCGCTGCCCGCAGAGAAACCGCCCGCACATGCAAATCAGATTCGCAGGCAGAAGCAGTGGCCGCTGACCAGGTCGGGGCGGCCGCCGCCCGTTGGAACCCACGCTCCTCTCCTCTGGCTTCCCTGACCGCATCCCGTCTCCTCCTCGCTCAGGGGAAGACGTTCGAGATCCGGCCGGACGGGCTGCCTGCGGCCCGCAAGCTGGTGTACCACACGGGCTGTGCCGCCCGCGCCCGCCACCTGCTGCGGCTGCTCCGCACCAGCCACCAGCGGCACCTCGCCCTGCGGCCCGCGCTGCAGAGGCTGCAGCAGCTGGAGGAGGAGCGAGGTGGGCACCGCGTGTCCTCCCTGACTGCGACCCCACCCCACCCCCGGTCTGGGCTCCTGGAGGACCCCGAACTCCCCCTGCCCATCGGCTCAGGGCACCGCAGCCCTTCGCACCTGTTTTCCCATCGTGGGGCGTGGGCTCTTGGCTCCTGTGTCCCCCCCCAGACCTGGTTGGAGGGCGTGGTGGTGACCCCCATCCTTCCAGCTCTCGCAGGGCCCTGGTGTCCCCCACATGCTGCATCTCCCGGAGCCGTGGCGCCAGCTCAGGCTGTGGGGCCGGCAGGACCTCGGGGCTCCTGCTGGCCACTGCAGCTCCTGGACACGGTCACGTTGCTGTCCCTTCTCTCTCTCTGCCCAGAGAAGAAGTGCTACCGGGAGTCATTTGTGGACGATGCGCCGGAGCTGGACCTGCCCCCGGCCGGCGGCAAGGACGGTGGGGGCCGCAGCTGCTGGCGCCCCTCCCCCCACCGCTCACTCCACCCGGCCGGCAGCCTCGGCAGGTTCCGCGTGGAGTCCAAGGAGATGTCGGTGGATGGGCCCTTGGGGACCGAGGCGCTCTGTGGGGAGGCGCTGTCCTGCAGCTCCAGCACCAGCCACAGCAGTGGGGACACAGATGACAGCAGCAGAAGCCGGCCAGAAAGGGACACTGGGGACGAGAACCAGAGGGACGGTGAGCATGTGGCCGGTGCGCCCCCCGCCCAGTCATCGCTGTGCGTGGCCAAGAGAGGGTGCGTGGGCCTGACGTTCCTGAGCCGTGACGGTGGCCCGCGGCCTGGGGTCAGGCAGGGGGACAGGGTCCAGCCTGTGGAGGGTGGGGGTGGCGGCCCTTCCGTCCTCTCTGCAGCTGACCTCGGGAGGCCCACGGGCCTCGTTTGGGTCTGGCCACCGGAAAGCGTTTCAGCCAGGTTCTTCTCTGGCCGCTCTTGTCCTGCTGGGTTCAGTGGAAGTCCCATGGCCATGGCCGCCATCATGGCCACTCACAGGAGCTGTTGGACTGAGTGTCCGCTCAGCCTAGCGTGAGCTCCTGTGCCAGGGGACACTTTCCTGGTTGATATGGGGGTGTGGGGCTTCCCCGCAGAGCACCTTGTCACCCCTGACCCCTGCATGTCTGCAGGTCCCCTGACCGTGGGTGTGGTGGGTAGTTGTAGGGACCAGCCTAAGGGCCTGGCCACCCAGGGCCACCCAGGAGCATGCAGTATCAGCATCGCTCAGGGTCACCCAGGGCCACCCAGGGTCAGGAGGTCTCTGTCTGTGACCTGCTATGTGTACCTGTACATTCCGAGTATCTGGCTGGCCCTGGTAAAGGACAAGTTGGTGGCCACCTCTGAGTGTCCAGCGTGAACAATGATGATGCAGCATTTGCCTGGTGACAGTTTGTTTGATTAGACCTCAGAGCCTTTGGTCAAGCAAGGCGGCCATGCTGGAGGCTCAGGGCAGTGTGAGCCCCAGGCAGGGAGAGGGCTGGGGCCCTGCTTATTCCTGCAGGGGAGGCCTGGGCAGCCCTGTGGGGAGGGGCGTGGGGTACGTCCTGGGCCCCGGGGCCTCGCTTCCGAGGGCTGGACCACCCCAAGCGTGCCCCATGGAACCCACTGCTCACTAAAGGGCATTCAGACGCCTCGCGTGGGGAACAGGTGATCGTGTCTGTGATAGAGGATGATTGAGCCCTGCAGGTGGAAGGCCAAGGTCACTGCTGAGGTCAGCCCCGCCCCCCCAGCTCCGACAGCCCCAGGAGGAGAGGCTGTGAGGGCCACAGAGGCTCGAGTCCCATCTCAGAGTTAGGGTCCCCAGAAGAGAAGTCGCCTCATGGGGTGGGCAGCCGTCCTCCCTGGACTTGGTCCTCCCTGCCCATGACCCCTCCCCTCCCTGCAGCCTCTCCGCCCCCTGGGCGCTTGGCAGCGGCGCCGGTCCCTCTGGTCAGGACGAGGGGCCGCAGTGCTGAGGATCCGGCCCAGGTACGTCCCCCGTTGGGGCCTGTGGTTCCCCGAGGCCCAGAGGAGGGTGCCTGGGCGGCGGGGTGGGTGGTGCGGTTTTCTGGAAACAAGGTGGGGGGCCGGCGCCCCTCGCCCCGGCGCAGGAGTGGGCACGCGGTTCGCGGCCTGGGGTCCTGCCGGGCGTGCGCGCAGGGGTGGCCGTGCCCACCTCCTCCACCCGCCATGCCCAGGTGGGGGGGTAGGGGGATAGGCTGGCGTGGGGGCGGAGCCAAAGCCGGGTTCTGGGGTGCTCTGCCCGGCATGGCCGGGAGTTGACCTGTGGGTGACGCCCCTGGAAAAAGAGATTGTGGGCGATGATTCGATGATTCGCTCAGAGGGGGACCGAGCCGGCGCAGGAGGGAGGGGGAGGCCGGCCAGAGCCCTGGGCGGGGCCCGCCCCAAGGTGGCCGGGGCGCCTGGCCCGGCCCCGCTTGGACATTCCAGACACCCGGTACCCGGCACTGGGCCCCTCTGCGGTGGCTCCCATCCGGGGCGCACGGCTGAAAACGGTTCCGTAGGGAGTCACTCAGCTCCCCAACATGGCCGGAACCCCTACCGCCAGCTTGGGGTGCTGGACAGGTTTCCTCGCACATGAAAGGGGACTGCCCTCGACTTCGGAGGTGCTCTCAAGTTCATCCTGAAAATCCGCCCAGGGCCCCCAGTGAGAGTCCAGACCCGATGCGTTTAGGAGCAGAGAGCGTGGGGCCCCAGGCCCTCCCAGCGAGGGGTGGGCTCTGTGGGCCGCAGGGCTTAGGTTCCCGCCCAGAGGCGCGCGCTCCTCCTGGATGAGCCACCTCTGTGACAGCACAGAAGCCGGAGGGGCCCATTGCGGAGGCCAGTCCCCCACCTCGCTGCCCTGGGCCTGCGCCCCGCCAGAACGCAGAGGGGGTACAGGGTCAGCTCAACGGTGTCGCCAAGGGGACGCAGCCAGGTGGGCCGTGTGTCAGGTCGAGGGACCCTCTGGGCGAGGGGACAATGGGAGTGGCCTGCAGAAGACAAGGCGACGGCGCGGGCATCTCCGGCAAGGGCAGCACGCGCAGCAGCCCAGGGCCAGGGGCGCAGGGGGCTGCCAAGTCCCCTGGTGTTAAGTGCTGTGGGGGGCGGAGTTGCAGGGGTCAACCTAGGACAGCTGGGCGGGGCTTTGTGACTGAAGTGGTGAGATGGACAGGAAGGGGCTACAGGGCACACCCTCTCCCTGCAGATCCCGGAGGCGACCGCCCGCCCCCCGGACCAGCACGGCCGCAGCCTGGACGACGTGCGCCCCAAGCCCGCCCCGCGCAGCCGCAGCCTTGGCGTTGCGCTAGACCCCAGACCCAGGGTCCAAGGCGAGCAGAGGTCCACGAACTACCTCTCCCTGGACCGGCTCTGGGATGACCAGCTCCCGGAGGAGTTTGTGGTGTAGGCTCCATGGAGCAGCTCCATCCACAAGGGGCGCCGCCCACAACGCGGGGTCCCAGACACTGCAGGCTCCGCCCACGGGGGGGCTCCATCCACACCGCGCGCTCCGCCCACGGGGGCTCCATCCACACCGCAGGCTCCGCCCACGAGGGCTCCATCCACACCGCAGGCTCCGCCCACGGGGGGCTCCATCCACACCGCGCGCTCCGCCCACGGGGGCTCCATCCACACCGCAGGCTCCGCCCACCGGGGGGCTCCATCCACACCGCAGGCTCCGTCCCAGCGGGCTCCGTGTCTGTACTCCAGGCCCCGCCCACAGAGCTCTGCTGCCCTCACGTCTTGCCACCGCGTCGGGGCTGCGGGCTGTCCCTGACTCTGCCCTGGACACTCCCTCCATAGCCTGGTGCCCGGTTGACCACGGCCTTGGGCGCCACGCCCTCTCCCGACACTCCCTCCTGTGTCTCCACCTGTCGGAGGTGTGGAGCTGCTCCGACGTCAGTCTGGAGGTGAAGAGTGGGTCCCCTCCCACCCTGGCCCGGGGCACGTGGGGTTGAGCTTCTAAGCTGGGGGGGAGGCCCTGGGGGTGCTCTCTGCCACCATCTCCGCCCATGGCCGGCCAAGCGCACAGGCCTTCCAGAAGCCCTTTGAGCTCAGGTCCTGGTCACTGCTGGCCGCAGGCTTCCCCTCGACCTCTCTGCGCGTCCTGCAGCTCACAGCCCTGGGCCTGCCCACAGAAGCCGCTCTGTGAGGCGGGCCCAACTCTGTCACCTCACACCCTGCGGCGATGCCCCGCCTGCCATGCGCACAAGTGCCCATGGCACACAGCCATGGTCCCCACAGAGCTCATCAGACCCCCAGCAGGAGGCCCCAGCGACAGCCACGCTGTGTCCTGGACGTCCCTGCTCTCTGCCGGGACGCGTGGGCGCCTGTGCAGGCCCAGGCTCTGCCCTTCCTCCAGTCACAGTACCGCTTAGAAGTAAGGGTGACACGTGTCCTTTCTCCACCTCCACCCCAGATAGCCACCCGTGCCAAGGGCTGTGAGCTGTCGTCAGTGGGGCTTCTGGGCTCCCAGCTGGATTGCTCGCTGGCCACCCCCCAACCCATCAGGGAGGACCAGCGCTTCCCCAGCCTCCGTGCTCCCCATGGCCTGCACAGCCAGCACCACTCCAGTCCCCGCTGGTGGGGCCCGGACAGCGTCTTGGGGGGCTGCTGCCTCCCCTTGCAGCTGTTCAGTCTGTGCGTTGCGAGCTGGTGTGCAGACGAGCACAGCAGGAGTGTGGCCCCGGGCTCAGCGTCCACGGGGGTGGACACTGGACCCACGCGGGTCAGGTGTATGTTGACAGTGGCCATCAGCATGGCTGTGATTCCCTTCAAAGCCAGGCAGCTAGCTGGGGCGAGGCACGCTCCCCTCCCGCCTCAAGGGCCCTGCTTGCAGGTGGCCTTCCTCCAGGAAAGGCCACCTGCCACATCATACCTGCTTCCTAACCCCAAGTGGGCTGTGAGAAAGGCCACTCTGACAGGTGGGACTCGATAGGTCAGACCCCTGCCCCCCCCCGAGGCTCAGCAGGGGGCTCCGTGCAGTGTGGCTGCACTTACCTGTGGCCCAGACCCACGTGCACACCTGCCGCCCTCGCTCCTAGGTGAACTGGCCTGTTTCACTGTCAGCCTGTCCCGAGTACTCGGTGGGTCACAGAGCCCATGAGGTCGTCCCCTGCCTACTCTGCCCGTGTGCAGACGCTGCACTGGCCACATCTCCCCAACTCACGTTGGAGCTCGAGCGGGGTGGGGGTGGGGGCTGCTGCGGCCAGGCGGGTGCCCCTCGGCCTGGCCCCTCGGTCCTTTCTGTGTGCGCCTGGCACCTGTGATAAAGACCCCACAGTGGGCACCACGGCCACCTGCTGTACCCACTGCCATAACCACCGTGCCCTAGAGCTGCTTGGACAGGGGGACACCGGGACAGCCCGTGCCACACGGAGCTCGTGACAAGAAACCTACCTTCGAATGTGGTCTGGAATTGCCAGGGCAGTGAGACCACGGGAAGGGGCAGGCAGGAGTGGCCCGTGCTCAAGGTGGCCTCGCGTGCCCAGTCTTTCCCTCATTAAACAGATGCCACCGGGCGGGTATGTGCTGGCTCTGGACAGATGCCAAGTGGCACAGAGCATGGTGAGGGGGTCGGCAGAGGTGGCCCTGTGCCAGAGGTGCACATGTACCGAGGGCCCTGTACGGAGGGCACCAGGCCTATGGCCACAGAGCAGGAGGCCAAGGGGTCCTGGCAGACTGGCCAGGGTCCGAAGGTTGGGCAGGGGCGTCCACAGTTGTGTGGGGCCTGAGCCTCTGCTCTCCCTGAGATTTTGGTCATATGAAAAGCCATCCCCAAGGTAGGAAGTGGGGCTCTGGCCTAAGGTCTGTGACTTTAAAGAAACTTTTGAGCACAAGAGTCTTGCCCGTGGACTGATTCGCTATGGCGTAGAAGGCAGCCGTCAGCGGGGTGGGCAGAAGTGCGCTGCTGGTGCCAGGCCCTGTGCACGCACGCGTGCACACACAAACCTACACACACACACGTGTACACACCCGCACACGCACATGCACGCACACCTGCACTCATGGTGTACAGACACCCACACACATACACACAAACCTACACTCACACACAAGTGTACACACCCGCACGTGCACATGCACACAAACCTACACTCACACACAAACAAGTGTACACACCCGCACGTGCACATGCACACAAACCTACACTCACACACAAATGTACACACCCGCACACGCACATGCACACACACCTGCACTCGCATGGTGTACAGACACCCGCACGGTGTACAGACACCCGCACACAAACACAAACCTACACTCAC